GGCCCTCGGGGGCGTGGCTGGACTCTAGGGCGGACCCAGCCAGTTTAAAACCCCGCTGAGTGGCTGCAGCCGGCTCGGTAATGGCTGTTAAGCACGGAGCATGGAGGAGTGCGCTTGCCTCTGCGGCGTGGGCTCTTCGCGGGAATGTCAGTGTTGTCAGGAGTCCCAGGGCCCAGCTGAGATGGCAGCGGCCGACGGCAAGCAGTGTCTTCAGGAGTTCCAGGGCCCAGCTGAGACCGCAGGGGCTGAGGGCAAGCCGGCCCCGGCAGAAAAGCACCTCGAGGTGGACACGGCAGCGGGGTGCTGTGCGGGGAGTGGAGGAATCGTGAGCCCCATGCCGCCTCCGCCGCCCCCGCACTGCTCGCTGCAGGACCTGCCGGTGGAGTTGCTGGTGGAGATCTTCGCCTTGCTCCCCGGCACCGACCTGGCCAGCCTGGCCCAGGCCTGCACCAAATTCCACCAAATCCTGCACACCGACAGCATCTGGAGACGGTGCTGCCGGGAGGAGTATGGTGTTCGTGAAAATTTGCAGAACCTGGAGATCGGTATGTCTTATCGAGAAGTCTATGCGAAGATGTTCTCATACAGAAACATTTTGGGTTTGTGGCAGCTAGGTGATAGCTATGGAAGACTGCTGAATGTAGTGGTGGACGGCTTAGGCATTACTGGTTGGACGTGCCGGCCTTCCAAGAACACCCATGTGTATGGCCCAGTGCAATTCGAGCCTTCGTTCAGAATTCGCCTGACGGAGAGGAAATCAGCCACGGTGGCTTACATGGACAACATCTATAGCTTTTACTACAGCCGCCACATGCAGATTCAGAAGGACAAGTTCAGCATCCAGTGGATCAAGAGAGACCACCAAAAGGATTCACCAACGCGGCTTAGGGGAGAACGGGTTCTGGTGCTGTTGGAGAAGGACAGGCGGCCTTATGACTGCCTGACCTCACACCGCCGCGTGATGCTGTCGCAGGAGGACAGACAGCCATATCGCTGCCTGACCTACCACCGCGTCTACCTCCCGCCGAGCCACCCGGACGACCTCATCAAGCCAGGCCTCTTCCACGGCAAATACGATGGCTTCGGCCCTATGATTGCCATGCTCAGCTTCCATGGGAAGTATGCCAGGGTCAC